TGAAATATGGAAGAAAACTGTCATAATGAGCATGGAGGGATTATTAATAGAAATGTGATAGGCAGTACTGTTCACTGTGTGACTGATAAATACCTGGAGCAAAATAAGGAGCAATGTATAAATTTGACGGTGCATTTTTATAACCAGTTTTGTATTTTTAAGCAAGATGGACAAGTGCATTTTCCACAGAGCATTTGTGGTGCTCTGTGAAGTTTGGCTTTCTATATAAAGATCTCAACTATATTTGTTTCCCACATGCTTCCAAGAATGATGTAGCATCTGAAATTAAAAATATTTTTCAGTAACTATCTTACGAAGGCTATCACTGCTGACAAAACAAGAGAAGGACAGAATTTTAAACATGCAGTTTTGCAGTTGCATAGAAGTGCAAGTTTTTCAGAAATTTTAAGTCCCATATGCTGTAAAGCTGGAAAACATTCAGTTTACAAACAGCAGAAAAGCATGGGAGAATAAAACACTGCCACATTTGACAGCTATCGAGAGGCAGCTCTACTTGTTGCCAAGTGGTTTTACCTTTATTATGTGGTTATCTTTTGTGTATATACGTTCTTTGGTTTTGCATGGGTGATTGAGGAAGAGGCCTCAGAAGCCGAAATCTGGCTCGCTGTCAACGGAGCAGTTTTAAATTTAAGCACTGCATCAGTCAAAGTGCAGTTTTGCTCCCACACTAGTCCCCCCTCTTGAAGAGTGAGAGCAACTGGAATCAGGTTACTTAATGGCTCGAAGGGGTAAGTGTTGGGGAGTTTGGGCCTAAAATTTAATTGCCATAAAATATATTTTTTTTCTTTATTAAAGGCCCGTCCTTGGGATTATTAATATTACTCTTATTATTGTTGAGCACTTTATAAAAAGACTGTTTTTCTTAGTATCTGCAAAGAGGCCAACCTGCTTCACAAACTGTCCCACTCCCACTCCGTGGCCCCAGTGCTTGCCAGTTTTGGCTGAAAGGTATGTGAGCTGTCAGTACGTTGCTAGATCATGGAACGATCACAGTTTTGCAGAAGAATTGCAATCACACCAAAGCAGGACATGTTGTTGTGGTTTTTGCCCGAATCTGTTTCTCCTCTTGTAACAAAGGGAACAACTTTGCAGGCAGGAGTATCTAGACACAGGGCTGACCCCCGAGCTGGAGGCCCTCCAGCTGCCTCCTCTCTGGGCCACCCGTTTCTCCTGAAGTTCAGGACTCTCTCCAGCTTGTCCCAACTGTCACACAAGATGTGATTACCTATTATTTTGAACAAATTTAATTGGTAAGACTCAGAAGGACCTCACCCTGGTAAACCAAAATAAATAACACTTTTAAAAAACAATCCCCAAACCAACAAACAAAACAGAAGATGGAGCCAGAGAGCAGCTATTAAAGCAAATTGCCAGAGAAGATGGGGAATTCAACTTGCTCCAACTCCTAAGCCTCGAACAAGACGACAGAAGAGGAATTGGAGACCCATCTCCAAGACCCTGGTGCAGTATGAGGGCATGGAAGGCGGCTCCGCTGCGTGTGAACGCATCGGTTCAAACCAGCACTGCTTTTCCCCAGAGGTTTTCCGTCAGCATCCCCTACATGAACACGGGAGCCACTAGCCTGATTCTGCTCTATGGAAATCAAAGGAGTGAGAGTCAAACCACATCAAGAAAATAAAGGCCAAAACTAACAGAGGGAAGGATGTTGCATTTACCATGGTGGCACGCCAAAACGCAGAGTAAGAGGAAGGGTTCTAAGAAAGAAAGATGAGGTAATATTCATTTAATATAAAGTAAGCTGCATTTTTCACTCTGTGTCTACTGACAAATATACTCTTCCAAGAAAGTTGAAATAATCCAAGCATACTATACTAGTAACCACACTTTCTACCAATTCAGAATTTATATTAACAAGAACCTTTAAATTAAGTTCTCATATAAATATCCTTCCTTGTAATTTTTTTGATTACCTGCAAAAAGCACATACCAGAGGAGTGTCATATAATTCTTAACCCTGCAATTCATCTGAATGTAGGAAAAGAACTGAATAAGCTTGCTTTTCTTGGCTTCAAATTCAGTTACTAAGTTAACTTCCTTTTGGTCCTAGCAATATTTTTAATTCATGCAATTTGACCTGAAAGCTATGACAGAACATTTTAAAAATCTGCTAATAAATACATGTAAGATTTATTTTCTTGATTTTTTTTTTTCAATTTTATGGGGAAACACTTTTCTAAACTACCCTAATTTTGCTTCTGTAGGTACTCATTAAACTTGATGTCCACCATGATTCTGACTTGAAGTCTTCTTGTCCATTAGTTTTTGGGTTTATGGGAAAATTGTTTTTTAAAAGGTTTTGATCGAACCGTGTGTAACAACAGTAGGTCTGGGAGAACACTTAGGTCTTGCTGGTCATTTCAATGCCTCTTCCACTATTACGACAACATTCTTTTAGCCTGTTGGGTGCAATGCATGAGGAAGCTCCAGGTTCCTGTTTCACTTTGAAATCTTTCTGTTTCTTCTCTGTTTGCCTTCCTCCCCTCCCCAGTTTTCCAGGCATTACTTTTTCTTCCCTCAGTCATAGCAAAACTGATTTTGTGTGCAGTAATTTCTCAACCATATTTCCCCATCTTACAAGGGAGAGTGGAGAATCGACCCCAAGTTTGGACAGCTGGTAAAGTGATGTACTAGACCTCAGGACACCTGGTATTCACGTGCCTTCCCAGGTCTCGTAGAGCAAGTCACCATGACAGATAAGCTTTAAAACATGCCCTTAAGATTCCTATCTTGACTGGCCACCAGACCCTTTCTTGCATTGTGTCATCTTTTTTTTTTTTTTACTATTTCCAAAGATCAAACCTTTACATAAAGTATAAACTTTATTTCAGCATATTATTGTTTGGCTTTGGTCCAAAATACATGCCAGCCTTTCACTCTTTTCTCCCAAAGAGTGTCTTAAACTCTGAAGTAGTGCTGGACCTGAACCTGTTTAAGGATATAGGAGAGACAAGTTTAATAGGGACATGTAGTATGTCTCAATAGACAAATGAAGAAAGTCCAGCTAATTTGGGGGATATATTAGATCTACTTCCAGTCATGTCAACCACACCTTTGCCTATCAAGACACTTATTTTCTCCATTACTTGCTTCTTTAAAGGCCTGTTGGGCAAAAACTATTCTGGGTCCCCCAAGAGCCTGCAGCCTGTTGTCTCCAGCATACTCTCAGCCCCTGTTTATCTGTCAGCACTGCACAGTGCTCAGTCTTGAATGCAAACGACTTCAAAGACAGCAGACCTTGCCAGACTTCAGTTTTAAAAGACATTTTTAGATACACATCCATTCTGAAAACTATCAAGTGTAGTGACATCTTCAAAGAATATCTCACACATCTCGTCAAGTAGCGAGACAAGCATTTCTATTTGTAGGTCTAGTCTAGGACTGCAGGATCATCCACAGCGGTAAGAGCATTGGTCTTTGCCTCTTTGGCAGTAGTGCCATTCTAAGAATTGTGAAAAAGGGATGCTATCTAATTCAATCACACATTCTCTGGGAAATAGTTTGAGACTGCAGATTAATTTCCCATAAGCCATTATACAGCCATCAGCTCTTGCTGACTGGACCTTTCCCTCCACAGTACACTTGTGAAACTCAAACAGTTTAGTCAAGTAAAGCTTAAATGTCTTGCTGTGGGCCTGCAGATACTGCTTGTTTGTTTAGCATAACACAGATTACTAAACATTGTGAAAATTTAGTTTCTGCCCCAAATAATTCACTATATCTTTTCTCTTGCCTGTATCTACTACACAGGCAACATAAGCGCCAAGCTGGCAACCAGAATTTGTTCTGTTGCTGGCTCTGCTGTATGTTACTCCCAGGAAAAAAAAAAAAAAAAAGCAAACTTCTGATCTTTGAGTTTTTCACACCTAAACTCTTACAAGTTTCCTCAGTTTTTCTGCTGATGGGCAGGAGCACTGTACCTTTCTTCAGGGAGAACTGCTTCTCGTTGGCTTAGTGTGGGTAAATTTAAAGTTACAGCTGAAATAACGCTTTCCAATCTGCTGACGACTTCTGCGATGTAGGACAACAGTTCAGACACTGAGCATGATTTTCCAGAATCTTTTGAGACAGATTATGAAAGTTTGGCATATACCACGGGAGGAAGTGCTTTTTCACTGGCTTTAGCACAGAGCTTTGGGTAAGCTATCTGACCTTTTTGGACCTCAATGCATCCATCTGGAAAAGTGAGCGAAAAGCAGCATCTTGCCGAGAATGAGGTGCTGGAATTCTGTTGCGTTTCCATTAGGAACAAGCTGTCTTGGTGGTGAATTTCTACTGCCATGGCGCAAGCAGCCCCCACCGCTTTGCAAACCTGCTCCTACCCCGCGCAAGGCTCGTACCCACCGTTACCTCTGTCCGGGCAGGCCCCGCATTTTATTTCACCCATTTTCAACACCCAACACCGAACCTCACGTAGAAATTGTTCAATCATGTAAACGCTGCGTGGTGCGGGAATTACTACAGGAAGTTCAATACAACCAGGTCCCACTGCCTGATGTGTCAGCAGAAATCCTGCCTCTACCTTGCAGGCTGGCCTTCCGCCCCAAGTTAAACTCACATAGGAAGAAGTGATGTAAACACTGGGAAGCAGTCGCCCCCCTTTAATCTTTGCTCCCCTTTCCTTCGCGAAAGGGCTCACAGACGATATGGCTGGGGGGCGGCCTGGCCGCGCCGAGAGAGGAGCACCAGGCACTCGTGAGAAGTGCCCCCCCGAGGCTTACCCGCGCTCGGCCCGGGCAGCCCGCTGCCCCGGGAGGGCAGCCGAGGGAAGAGACGTGCGTTTAAACCACCGTCTGCCCACAGGTTTACCTTTCTCAAAGGCGCGACGCCGTGAGCAGCCGCTACGAGATGGCGGCGGGCGGCCGCCATTTTCCCCCCCTCAGGCCGCCCCGCCCCGCTCCGCCCGGCCCGGCCCGGCTCGGGGGCGGTGCCGCCGCCGCCCCCGCGTTTCTTCCCGCTTCCCGGGGAGCCCGCGGCGCCTCCCGGCTCCGGCGAGTCCCTCCTTCCCCTCGGCGGCGCCGGCCGCCTCCCCCCCGGCCGCAGCCTGCGCTCGGCGGTGCCCGCCGGCCCCCCGCGGCGCCCATGGCGGCGGAGCCTCAGCCCAAGGCGCTGACTCGCAAGCCCCTCCTGCTCAACAAAGTGGAGGGCTCGCAGGAGGTGGTGAACATGGCAGCGATAGTGCCCAAGGAGGACGGGGTCATCAGCGTCTCCGAGGACAGGTAGCGGGGAGGGGGGCGCCCGCAGGTCCTGCGGGGGCCGTGGCGCCGGTCTGTCCCTCGCCCGTGGTGGTGGGAGCGGGCAGGTCCCGCGGTGTTGGTCCGCCGCCATCATCCGGCGGACAGAACGGGTGGGTGACAGACCACCAGCCGTCGCTGGGGTGACCGTGGGTTCCGCCGCCGGGGTCCAGGCGAGTGGCCAGGGTCGCGGGTGGGTCCGGTACGGGGACAGCGCTTTCGGCAGCCGCATCGGGTCCTGGAGGGGAAGGAAGGAGCTTGGGGCAGGGGTCTCCAGCTCCGTGCCCGTCTTCTCCCCCACCGCCGTGTGGGTGAGGGCAGGGAGTAGGCTGAGGCGCTGCTGAAACTTGCAGGACTTGAGTGACTTTTCTTAACGTGGGTAAAACGGGATTTGAGATCGCCTTCGTCGCCGGAATTGCCGAGAAGGCTGCCGAGGTCTTTGACCTTGCTTAAAGATTGCTGTGGCGCTGGCTAAATCAGTGGTTTTGGTTCCCGCTCCTCCTCTCCAAACATTTCTTGGTAATTGTTTAAAAATACCATCTATCAGTGATAAGATCTTGGAGTTAAATCCCGTGTTGTAAAGCTGCCAAGGAGCAGAATGTTTTCAGGCCGTTTAGCTGGGCTGTGCGGGGTCGGAGGCTGCCCAGGGGCAGCTTTTTCTCTTCTGAAAGAGCTCGAACTTAATTCAGCCCTGCAGCTGGAGCTTCAAAACTCCATCCTGAAGGTGCCTGCCTTTAAATTAAGAGCACGTCTTTCTTGTCGAGTCCATAAATAATTATTTTAAGAGGAGTTTCTTTGCAAATTGGGCGCAGGGTGTGTAACCTGCGTCCCTAGCCATGTGGGGACATGTCCCCAAATGTTGACCAGTCTGTGAATACGTCTTGATTCTCAGAGGTTTTTTGGTGGACTGTTTCTCTCTTGGGTGCCTGTTACCCTGTTGAGTGTCTGCTTTTACGTCTCTGCTAGCTTTCTGGAAAACTGTCAGTATTCCTTTCATCTTTTCTTTGTCCTCGCTGTGAGTTACTTTTGAGCAAGCTGTCAAATACGTGTAAATTTAAGATCATTTCAGTTCATATGAGCTGTGCTTTCCAAGTAAACTCTCATGCCTCGTAGCAAGGGCAGCTGAGCTACTTAAAACAAGTACGCCGTAAAAGGGACTTTAAGCAGTTTTACATTGCCAGGATTTAATTTTCTCTACATCTTTTACATATCTGTTGTGAAGCTGAGTAAAGCTTGAGTGTGTTTCACTCACTGTAGCTTGTTAGACTTACTCAGCCAATTCTTTGTAGCTGTAAGAAAGTATTCCTGAAATTCATTTGCTCTTGTATATGTCTGTCTTAGTCTCTGCTTCTCCCCCCACCTTGGAAAGAATAAGTAGCCTCTGCTGTTTTAGCAGGTATGAATTATTGAGAATAGGTTGGTGCTCCAAGTTAATATTTCTCTGTAGAGAAAGGGATTGGTGAGAGATCTTTGTTTCACTAATAATCAAGATGCCAGGTTCAAGAAACCAACAGTGAAGCAGAAGCCAGGAGGTTCCCACGAAGAAACTGCTAGTTCATGAGCACCACCCTCTCCCTTCCCATCCCAGAGCAACCCCCTGGTGTGAGTCACTTGGGTCCTACTTACTGATGAAACCGGTAAAGAAATCTGCTGTTAGAAGTGCTGGTAAATGTCTAAAGCCTTGCTGGTAATACAGGATAGCTCTATGGACATTGAAATATTGTAGTAAGTCTGGAGGTTCCCAGGTTATTTTCTGCTTAAAAGCACTAACCAGGTAATTTGCCTCCTTGTGGAGCTGGTTTGTGGTGTCTTGGGGATGCTATAAGCTATGATCGTGCCTTTTATTTCTTTAGGCATGAAAACATTGATTGATGGGTTTTTTTTTTCTTTCATTTTCCATCAGCATTAGCATTTTTATTGTAATTAAAAGGTTCAGAGTATAAACTTGGAAGGAACGGCAGGTGAGAGTCAAACTTGGAGGTTTCAGGTTACTTGGGATGGAAGTGTAGTTCATCAGACTCTCAGTACCCGTGGCTCATGGTTAGGCTTGTGAATATCCTTGTTGGTACCTTTTCTTGTTCAGACCTAGTTTCTAGTGCTAACGTTGACGTGGTTGTTTAATGGTCTTGGAATGTGGAGGGTTTTTAGAGATTCCTGGAAGCTGCGAAGGACAGTTATGGAGAGGTTATTTGTTTCTTGTTAGTCAAATAAGTGAGTTTTGGCTGCATTTACCAGCCTGTGATATGTACTGCTCCTATGAGAGAAACGTTCTGAAACTTGGGCAGAGAACTTCTGCTGGAACAACTTGTCATCTCCAGTGCTTGCTTCGGGCTGGGGAAGGATGGTCCTCTGGAGACAGAGGAGAGAATTCTCTGTTGGTTAACTGTCTAATGGCTGAACATATCACTGCTGAAATTGCTAGTAGTCTTAACATACAAAACCACCAGGTACCGCTTGAAAGGTTTTCTTTAGTGCGTGGTGTGGCTCTATACCCGTAAACCCTTCAAAGCAGGAGCTCAGTCTCTAGTCTCTACCAGTTGTTTTATCTGGTTTTAAAAGACACGGAAGTGGTTTTAGCTATATCTTGCAGACATAGTTATGCATTATGTAGCCTCAAATTTTGTTGTATTTATAGCACACCCATGCACATATTAAAAAAAAAATTAAACTAAGTGTGGGCATTCCTCAAAGAATAGCGTAGAGAGGGAAGGAATAAATTTCAGGAGGGGGTCACATACTTAACTAGATTATCTAAACTTTACATAATCTGCAAGGTTGGAGTTTCGTTTCAGTGTGCATCACCTATATGCTCTACATATTTTATTTCCCTCCGAGGAAAAGGGATACAGCTGTCTAGGCAGGTGAGAGTTAAAGGAGTGGCAGCATTTGTTATCCAAGAATGTATAAATCTGATGCAGGGGGGATATAAGAAAGAAATTATTAGCCTTTGTCCACGTTCTTTCACCTGCCAGCAAACAGTTGGAACTAACAGACACATACAGCCAAACATGTAGAGTCTTGAGTGGTCCGTAGCATTGAATGCTGTAGGTGCTACATGTGAAGATAAAGTGGGATTTTTCTAATATGCACAGATGGCCTTTAGTTGTCATCAGCTTTCAGTGTGTTACAAGCATGGGCTACCATTTCAAAACTGCTGAGTGTCCTCGTCTTTTGTTGCCTTCAGAGGGAGATGTGGGTGTTGGGCGCGTCTGAAAAGTAGGTCACTGGCATGTCAAGTTCAGACATCCCTAACTCTGTGCTCCCGAGGAGATTGAGTGTCATTAATCTTACCTGAGCATGGGGATATGGTGGGAGAAGCGCACTGACTCACCCAGCTTTCAGTGCAAGCAGTTCTGCTTGGCGTTGGCATACTTCTGTGTTTCTCAAGAGCTTGCCAGGGATGGGAGTGCTAATTCAGCTGGGTCCCTGATGCACTGGTCGTGTGTCACTGTGCAAGACTGGCAGGAGGGGGGCTAGGTGTCATCATGGTAAGCCTGCTCTTTGCCACTAGCCATCTTTTCTTCACCTACAGTATAGCTAGTGGAAAAAAATCTTAGATCTGTGCTGGTGTAGGCAACTTTCCTGATAACTATGAATTCTGGTCTGTGCCTTCTTTTGGGTGGCAGTTCTGTGCTCACTTCCACGCTACAGACCTTGGAAGTGTAGGTGTTGCAGTCAAGAACTGTACTCCTTAGAGTCTTCAGGGGAGGTAAAAGCTTTCCTAGTCAACTGAAAATTATCAAAATCCTTTATTTTTTAAAAAACAGGCATTCTAGTCCCCTAGACAGTGACAAAACCTAGAAGAAAAATATTTATGCCATAGGGGTTTTTTATTTTTTATTTTTAAATTAAGGGAACAGAGACCTTTATCTTCTCTTCTACCTTGTGTCATCTTAAGTTCCTTTTGAATTGTCTTAGATTCTTTTTATGGATCACTGTATAAACAGTGACCCCAGACTGTTTGTCATGCACATTCCTATTAGTGCCTTCATCTCACCTAGAGAAGCCTACAGAGCTTGTATTGCTAGGTTTGGTTTACAGTTTGAGGTTTTTAACTGCAGGTACGTACTGAAGAGATTTTAAAAAGCGGATGTGCACTTAAGCAGTTGTCCAAGTCTTGTCTTCTGGGTATGCTAACTAGCAGTTTCTTTAGGGAGTACAAAAAAACGAATGACCTTGTATAGATGAGCAGAAAAAAATCTGCTCAATCACTAAACTAACGGTGAACTAGGAATGCGAATGTGCATATGTGACAAGAAATGTGGAGGTTTTCTCTGGTGTCCTGTTGACGTGCTTTCCAGCATGGAGAAGTGTTATCTTTTCATCCTTAAATATATCAAAAGCAGCCTTTTGCTCCTTGTGGTTTTCTTGTCCAGATCCAGGGCATAAAGCACATAGCATTATAGTTTATGACTGTGAAATACCTCTAATGAAAAGGTGGGATTCTGCACGCAGTGCTGCATCTAGGCAGGACACAAAGAACCGCAGTCCCTGGGTAACTTCTCTGGGCTTTTCTTCTCCTGTTGTGGAGTGCTCCAAAGAGATTGCTTTGCCCAGCAGCGTGGTTGCAATACAGGTCTGTCTCATCTTAGCGCAGGGTTATGTCACTGATGGCTGCTCTGTTTTGTATGTGGCTGTTGGTTCGCAGCAGAAGTGTAGGCGGTGTGAGAAATAATTTTGATGCTAACTGCTTGTGTCTGTTTATTGGTCTAAGCCTGTAGGTTTCACACCCAGGTTATTGCCGCGTGAGCAGTAGTTCAAGCAGTGTAGAAGGTGTTGATGCTCTTCACAGGTGTAAAAAGACTTGTCCCTGCCTGGGGGTTCTTTAAGTTTTGATAAAAACATCCGTCACTGATAAAATTGTTGAGAAGATGTGAAGGAACTCTACACAAGCGGTGCAAAGGTTCATAAGAGACCTATTGCTGTAGATGCAACTTGTTTGGTCTGAATTTTTTTTAAATTAATTGGATGTGTTGCAACTCGAT